ATTTGCATTTCCCTGATAATTAGGGCCAATGAACATTTTTTTCATGTTTGTTAGCCATTTGTCTGCCTTCTTTTTACTCATCTATGTCTTAACCAAAACTAATGAATATATGAAACTAAGAAAACATACTTCATTCTAAATTATGGCCAGATGAAGAATAAAAATAAAAGGGGAAGAAATAGAAATAAACATAAATAGACAAAAAATCCCTCAAACTAAAGAAAACTGAAACATACAGCCATTGATCAGAAGAACATATAACCAAAGAAAAGGTGTGGTGATGGATGTAGAGATATATGAAGACAAGCCAATATGTATAAATGCAGGGAAACAGATCCCCAAGTGAGGAAAGGACATAACAGATTGTGAGAAGGCATGGAGGAGCTTGGTGGGCTCAGGTTTCCTAATGAACACGGCTCCTGTAACATCACGCTATTCATTTATGCTGAAGGTAGGAGAACCATTTATAACCACAGAGCTCTTTGACTTCCAAGACACAGTGATGAGTACTTTCTACAGTGAGAACAGGGAACAGGTTTGTGAAGTTCTTTTTTGCTTTCATTTTTATACAGAGTTTATTATTTATGATATTTTTCATAAAAATAGAGAAATTGGGTGAAGTAGGATCTTAAGAATTTATTTCAGAACTTTAAAGGCCATAATCAATTTACTAGTTGTATTAGAAAGCCCTTTGTAAGGTCAAAAATTGCCTTTATCTTTTTGAGTACTGTGACTTGCCTCAGCCAAGGAAAGCTTAAGGTTATGGCTATATTTGAAATGTTTAGATCTGTCACTGTTCTTGGTCTCTTCCCTTTTTCTTAAGGCCAACAATCAATTTCATAATGTAAAAAGAAAATAATCTGTGGGAAAATCCAGAACATTTTTCAGAAAAATGTTAAACACTACTTACATATTTTATCCCTTAGAATGGTTTGCATCTATCTGACAGTATATGGATGTATTTTGGTTAACACAAAATGCTTTTGCCCCAGTATGGTAAGCACATAAGCACATTTAAAGGTAGCACTAAAAATAAAAATAAATATCTCCTGTTAACATTCAAATGTACAGTAGCTGGACAGCACATTATTCTAAATGAAAAAAACTTCATGTTGCATTTTCAAAGATTTTATGTTTAAAGCTATTAATAAACCAGTATTATAAGCTTATTTCTGATTTTTAAAAACGTCTTCTGTATCTTTCTGGTGTTTCACTGGCTACAAGTGATCATCGACACTGGTACTAAGACATATAATAGTTTATTTTGTTGGTGAATCCTAATTCATGAAGTCAAAGAGTTAAGAACAATAAATAATTCATTCCATGAGTCTACATTAAAATTAAGATTTAATCTGCCTTTATTTTAAACCTTTTGAGAGATTCTTGATAAGAAAAGCCTTGGTTCAGTACTCTATGGATAAAAGTTAAGTGGAAAATACTGTGGGGTCAAAATCTAGAATCTCCTTGAGTTCAATTATAGGTGTGGTGGCACATAACTTTCAAAAATTATAGATAAAACCAGAAACTAACTCTTCTGCATTATTTTTGTGTCTGAAAAAAAGGAAACCAGTAACTAAAATCTGGCTTTTAATAAAGAAGTCTCTGTTGCCAATTCATTCCTTACTCATTGAAATTGCTTAATACTAAGAACCTTTTGTTTCATGAATCTTTGTCAATATTTATTTATTTATTTATTTCAGGCTCCTTTATTCCATGATATTTATTCTTTTTGTTTTGTTTTTGAGACAGAGTCTCACAGCAGAGTGCTGTCATATCACAGCTCACAGTAACCTCAAACTCTTGGGCTCAAGTGATTCTCTTGCTTCAGCCTCCCAAGTAGCTGGGACTATAAGCCCACCACAACATTCAGCTATTTTTTTGTTGCAGTCGTATTGTTGCTTTAGCTGGCCCAGGGCACCGGCTCAGTATATGTGGCTGGTGCCCTACCCACGGAGCTATGGGTGCTGCCTCAATATTTATTCTTGTAATAATTTAAAACCCCCCAAATTCCTAAACTTCAGTCTAGATGTCAGTGAGTCACCTAGGAGAGCAATAATGTAAATATTATCATAAGTAAAACCTCTATCATACAATGAATGAAAACAGAAATCACGGCTACCTACATTGTTAGTACTACTACAGTTTAAGAGTGAATAATTGTTGAGCCTTTCAAAAACCTTTTCCCCGAGTTTTATAGACCTGCCCTGAAATTTTGGGAAAAAAAAAAATTAAGTACATACCCGCACTCCTGAGGTGAAATGTCCTGTTCCTGACGAATCCTAAAGATGATAATGCAGTGAAATAATCCAAACAGGGGAAGTCAATCCAAAAGAGAATAGTCCAGCAAGGAAAAATATATCCAATGTTATAAGAAATTCATGGTGTGGGGGGGGACACAGAAAATGTTTATACAGTTATAAACTTCAAACATCAGTCTCCACAGTAGCAAGTCCAAGTTTTAAAAATTACTTCACCACAGTGTATGCAAAAAAAATTTTTTTGATTGTGCAATGGTGAGGCACAGTAAAGAAACATTTTAATTTTAATTTATCATGTTCCAATGCCAGTGCGTTCATTAAAAAAATACAAAACCAAAAAAAGTTAAAATCAAAATGAAATCTAGAAGTAAAGTTCCCAAAGTAAAGTGGTCTTCTGCGACCTGGATTCATCATCCATAGACATGGCTGGGAAGGGGCATATTAGCCTGCTTTTAAGGTTATAAGTTCCCAATATGCTAATTTTTCTCTATTAATGTGTTTCAGTTACATAGTATAAACATTTTTTGCTAAATCATTAGTGATGAGAGGAAAGCAACAAACACATTTAATTTATATGACTATAGCTTCCAAGCCAGATATTTTCAATTTGTGTGAGCTAAGAAGGATCAGGCCACCGCGGATTATTCTCCATTTTGGATTGACTTCCCTGCTAAAAGATGTTTATTTGCTGACATTTCCATAATCTTAAAATTCTTCAGTAAATTGACATGTCACCTCAGGAGTGCGGGTATAAACGTACTTTTTCTATTGTGGGCTTTGCCCCCTCATACCCTTGCACCCATTACTTAGGAAAAATAAATAAAAGAACATTCTTTCCTCTTTGGAAAAACTCACTGAAAAAAAATCCTACATCTTTGAGCACTACAAATTCAACACAGTTCCATCTGCAAATATGCCCAATTCACCCACTAAAAGCTAAACAGTATGTACAATAAACAATACAACTAAGGGACAGTCACAGTTATAGGTGACACGCATACTAATTTATACCAACACCTAGGCACAAAGGAGCCAAATATACAAGAGAGGTAGCAGGGTCTATTATGTCTAGGTATTGAGGACAAAATATGGCAGAACTCACCAGTAGCTGTGAACTCCCTTGGCTATTCTCAGAGAATTTAACATTCTTTTAGGATAGTTTCCAGTGGGGGAATTAAATATTTTGCAAAAATAAATAATCCGCGGATTAC